TAAAAATTATGTATATATGTATTTGTGGGTTTTGGTTGGACATGGAAATGTATAAAATCTTTGCAATACATTTTATGTATATTACATATACACAAAATTATATATATATATGTGTGTGCGTGTGTGTGTGTGTGTGTGTGTGTATCTAGGGCCTCCTTCATATTCTTTTTTATTATAGTGCTCCCCTTTCCCTATCACTTGAGTGATCCCTCAAGGACTTGATGTTGCTATTTGATGTGTCTCCGCTACCACTCCCTTGATTTTATTTTTACTGATTTCAGCTAAATATCACTTTTATATGATAAGTGTAATTACTATAAGGTATTGCTTTTGACAATTATTTCACATATTTTATTTACATGATTAATTTTCTCAATAAAACAATCACAGGATATGAAATTATTAGGGAAGAATTTCAAGGCCTGAAAGATTTTTTTTCACATCCATGTAGAAAGTGTCTATTTATCCTAAACAAAAGATACGGTTATGGTCTTTAGATGTATTCATTGAATTGGTGAATATATTTTAGACTTTTGCATTCATAAATATTCAGAGTTTTTAAAAGATGCCCTTTAGCCTTCTGAAAGGTAAAAATTCTATGTAGGTTTTATGCATATTGAGGCAGCTCTTTCATTCTTTTGAGGTGCCTTCATAATGATAATCCCCACTCCCTCCTTTCAGATTTAAACATGTTTTTATTCAACATTCCCTTCCCTAGTAACCACATACCAAAAAAAAATGAGGGATGTTTTTAATGTGCTGCATGAATATGTATCCTCAATAAGGTGATGGAATAAATGAATTAACTAATCCCTAAAGAAAACATGCTTCTGGTATTATGTGACCCCATTATTAAACAGATATAAATAATAATATTATGAATTTATTAACCAAGTGTTTACCATTTTACAGTAGAAAGAATCTTTATAGTCCCCACAACCCAAAAGTCTTTCATATAAAGAAAATCATCCAAAAAGAATRCCCAACTCAAAGTTTATGCTTGAAGGCTGGAAATTTGCTTTTATTAAGCATTTATTTTACTAATTTTTCCATTTAATTTGGATGATTCTTCATAAGCTGTTAATGAATTTAATGTATTTTTCCTTTGGCATTTTTCTTTATTTCTCTGTACTTCTTTTCCTTCTGTGGAAGATTTTATCTCAGCTTCTAACAGTTCTCTCTCAAGGAAAGACTTTGTTTCCAGAGTAAGCTGCAGGGGTCTCTCTGTAGAGGATCTTTAACAACATCTTCTGCAACTTTTGAAAGACACTGCACTGAAATTTATTCTCTAAGTCACTGTAATTTGTCTGAGTGAGGATTTCATAGAGTTATTTTATGAAGTTTGATGTTGTCACTAGTGACCAACACATTATACTCTCTTTTTAATTCTTGTAATGTTTTCCTTCTTGTCTGAACAGGTAATGGGCATGACCAATAGTAGTGCCAAAGAAGACTT